TATAAGCATACATTTTTATTTTGTTGTAAATTCAGGATAAATGGGTATTTTAAAAATTTGAAAAGCTATAATATGAAAACACTGGATTCCAAGTCCCCAAAATGCAGGAAATCCAAACCTATATAAGTAAAATTCAAGAGAAATGATTTTGAAACTCTTACACCTATTTAAACCAACTTGCAGAATTTATAATTTATATGTAATTTAAACTGTCACAGTTTCCGCATGACATTTATAAATAATAGATGAGGGGCGCCTGGGTGCTCAGTCATTAAGCATCTGCCTTCGGCTCAGGTCATGATCCCAGGGCCCTGGGATCGAGCCCCGCATCAGGCTCCCTGCTCAGTGGGAAGCCTGCTTCTCCCTCTCCCACTCCCCCTGCTTGTGTTCCCTCTCTCCCTGTGTCTCTGCCAAATAAATAAATAGAATCTTTAAATATATATATAAATAATAGGTGTGATGCATAATATTAAAGGTAACTTAGGGGCACCGGATGGCTCAATTGGTTAAGCATCTGCCTTCAGCTCAGGTCATGATCCCGGGGTCGTGGGATTGAGCCCCACATCGGGCTCCCTGCTCAGCGGGGAGCCTGCTTCTCCCTTTCCCTCTGCCCCTCCTCCCCCCACTAGTGTTCTCTCTCTCTCTCTCAAATAAAATCTTAAAAAAATAAAGGTAACTTATTTTTAAAATCTTTGACTATTTTTTATGAACCAAAAGGCAAAAGATAAATTTGCATTATTTACCCAATAATTAAAAAAACTGTGATTGTGTGTTTCTTCTAAAGCACTTACAGTTACCAAAAGACTATTATTACTATTGTTGCTATTCTTACATTAAGGTATGCATATTAAAAATGCACATTCCCAGCCCAGGAATTTGAATTTACAAGTGACCCCTACTGCCACTTGGATGTATAGTAGTTTAAGAATAGCTGAGGGCGCCTGGGTGGCTCAGTCGGTTGAGCGTCCAACTCTTGATTTCGGCTCAGGTCACGATCTCTGGGTCCAGCATTGGGCCCCATGCTCAGCGCGGAGTCTACTTGTCCCTCTCCCTCTGCTCTTCCCCCCACTCGTGCGCTTGTTCTCTCTCAAATAAATAAAATCTTTAGAAGATAATAAACAAATAAAAAGAATAGCTGATACAGAGGCTAGCATTAATTTGGGAATGTTGCTGGATCAGTTTCCCAAACCTCTCAGGTAAGAATTACCTGGGCCATCTGTAAAATACACAGAACACCAGTCCTCTTCCCTAGACGTTCGGACTCAAGAGGGCTGCGCTGGGGCCCAGGAACCAAGGTTTTTAACAAGCACACCCAAAGTCAGGGGGAAACAAGTTAGATTACTATATTTAGGCAAACACTGTACTGTGATACCTAAGACCCTGGAATTGGGAAAGAAACTTAAACTACCAATAAGAAAGAAATTGGCTATTTTTACACTGCTAAGGGTTTGGAGTTTTGGAAACACAAAGCTGAGACTACCTTCTCCAGCTCCACTCCTCTCCCAGCGAGAAGCGTCTCACTACTTTTCGGATAAAGACAAAACTCCTTATTAGGGTCTACCATGCCCAGAGGCATGGTTTGCCCCCTTCCTACGGCTTAGATAATATCCAACACTCGTTCTGGTCTTCATTTAAAGGGAGTCCTTCTGGGGCACCTGGGTGGCTCAGGCAGTTGAGCGTTGGGCCATGATCTCCAGATTGTGAGATCGAGCCCCGTGTCCGGCTCCACGCTCAGTGGGGAGTCTGCTTGAGATTCTCTCCCTCTGCATCTGCCCCACTTCCCCCACTCATGCTCTCTCTAAAACAAATAAATCTTAAAAAAAAAAAAAGGGGGGGTCCGTCTCCAGTCCAAGACTAATCCCTCTACCCTTTGTACCTCTGAATGCGTTCCCTCATTTGTAAAATGAGAATAATACCTATCTCATAGATGGTTCTGGATTGAATGAGGTCGGGTAAGACGGGCTCTCTGCATGGAGGCTGGCACAGTGAATGATGGCTATTACTTAAATCAAGCTCTGTGTCTACTTCCTCACATTCAATTCTTCAACCCACTTGCCATCTGGTTTCTGCACCCACCATTCCAAGGAAATTCACCGATTGCCAAGTCCAAAGGACAAATTTCAGTCCTTATCTGATTGACCTTTCTGCAAGTACTAGATATTGCTGACCTCAAATTCTCCTTTGGCTTCCCTAAAAACGGTATATCCTGTTTTCTGCATACTTCTCTGGCCAGTCTTTCCAAGCATCTTTTGTGGTTCTTTCGTTGCTTACCTTTCCAGATTTTTAAAAAAATACCTTAACGTTATCAAAGTAACACACGCATGTCTATCTGCCAATGACAACAACCCAGCAAGGTCTTAGTCCAGAGTAGTCAAGAAATAGTGATCGAAAGGAATCCCACCAATTTCTCTCTTACATTTGGGTCTTCACCCCAAGCTGCTTACCTTTGGTTCTACACCCTGCCAGCTGTGTTGCTAAGTACCTTTGGAGGAAAATCACACAATAAAGTAAATTGATTTAATGTATGTATGTATGTAAATTTGTATGTATTTATTTATAAGTAGGTGGGTGTGCATGGAGCCCAATGCAGGGCTTGAACTCATGACCCTGAGATCAAGACCTGAGCTGAGATCAAGAGTCAGGCACTCAACCGACTGGGCCACCCAGGCGCCCCGATTGGTACCATTTTAAATTAACATCTGTAACCTCATTTGTGTGTTCAACACCCAGCAATCCTTTTTTTGGATCCTGTCAGCTCCAGCTCCCATTTTCTTCAGGGACCATTAAAAAACCAAAACCCAAGACCAAACCAAAGAGAAACACTTAAACATGAATAGAGGGGTTGGGGTGAAAAGGATGGGCCCTCCTCCCCTCCCCTCCCCGCTCTACTTCACTCCTAGAGGTGTTAACAGCTCGAAGTGCACCTTGCCACCTCCTTTCTGTGAGTATGCAAACATGGATTTATGTCCCCCTTGTCCCCCAAACAAATGAAATCACACATCACTGCCCTCCTTTCTGTGAGTATGCAAATAGGGATTCATGTCGCCCTTGTCCCCCAAACAAATGAAATCACACATCACTGCCTATTCTCTCATTCTTTTCAAGAACACCTTTCCATATTAGTACACACTCATCTTCCTCATTCTTTTTTTAACAGCTGCATGCTTTTCCACTGAATAGATGTGCCATAATTCGACCTCTCCGCTACTGATGGGACACCTCGCTAGTGTCGTTTTTCATGACCTCCCTCGGTAGCTCCACATTTATTCAAGCTCCCATCCCATTTTCACTTTTCTCGCAAGGACCTCTTCCCTCTTTCCCAGACGGAACTGAAGCTGTGATGCGGGAACTCTTGCAGCTCCCCACCGCCCTTGTCTACACACTGATCTGGGACTACACCCATCCGTTTGGGGTCTCAGGGGGAAGGACATCTCCTGCCGGCGTGCACGCTAGCTATGCTGACATTCCCGCCTGTTCCCACACAGGGCTTCCCCACAGTTACCCTCTTTGGGGGGTTTTGTTTTATCCAATTCCTCTTTCTGTCTTGCTTTCTCCCCTAAGCTCACGTAAGCATGGTTACTTATCTTCCCTTTTATGACTCTCCCCCTTTTATGCCTCACAGCCTCGCTTCTCGAGAATGGTCGGTGATCTCTGTGGTCGCTTTCCTCCTCTTCCATCTGCTCTCCATCTGCATCCCCTCCCCTTGGACCCTGCTGCGGGCTGGCTTCCAATCTCACTACTCTACAACTGCTTCTGCTGGCTAAGGTCACCAGGGACCTCCTAGGTGCTCTCTCGCTCACGCTTCCTTTTACTTTACCTCTCCGTAGCATTCACGTGGTATTTTTTGTTGTTGTTGGTGGTGGTGGTCTTAAAACTCCTTCTTTGGTTTGAGAAAATACCACTCTTCCGGTTTTGCTTCTATTTCTAGCCACCCTCAAATATCGGTCTTCACCAGGATTCTGTCCTCCTTGCTCTTCTGACTACACGTTTCCCGGGTGATCTCACCTGCTCCCGAGGTTGCATGAATCCTAGGCTTTCCACCTATCATCCTTTCGATTTCCATGCTTCCAAGCAAACGTAGCTCTTTCTCCTACCTTCCACCCACAGCCTGTGAACAGCATCACCACTGACCCGGTCACCTAAGTCAGAAACCTAGGGTCCACTCTTCCACCTTCCATCATCCAGTCAGTCACCAAAGCATACCGCTCATCACGTCCCTACTGCCCACACCTCGGCCAGCTTGAGTCTCCATCCTCTCTTCTGGCATCACCCTCTCCCCCCAGTCCGTCCGTTCTCGAAGCACAGCCGGCGCGATCTCTCTAAAATGAGCATTTGTTCCTGAACATGGTCATCACCATCCTATGTTATATCCCCTCTATTTCCATCCATCCAGAACTGCTCGTTCCACGAACGGGCCATGTAATTTCATGCCCTCTGCCAAGAATGCCCTCCTCCCTCCCCTCCCCCGTCTGGCAAACTCCTACCTACTTTTCATGATCCATCTCAAAGGCCACCCCTGTGAAACCTTCCCGTCCTTACTCCATAAGCAGAGTTGGTAACTCCCTCTCGCCACAGATCCCCATTAAGTATTTATTGCAATGATCATGTTTTATTCAATTTATTTACATGTCTCTCTCTCTCATTCTAGCCCTTAAAGTTCCCTGCGATCAGAAACTAGATCTTACTTTTATATCAGCATCCAGCAGACTGCTTGATAAATGTTGAATGAACAAATGAATGAATACCATGTACCCGCCCAATCTCCCAAACCAAAATTCTGAAAGCCACCTTCCATTCCATTCCTCCTTTTCCACCTCCGAACGCCAATCGGTCATCAAGGCCTGTTGATTCTACCTCCTGAAGATCTCTCAAATTCGTGCCCCTCCCCATCTTAATGCCACAGCCCTGGATTGGGCTCCATTACCCCTTACTTGAACTACATTTGCTCCCCTCCAAGCCATTTTCCACACTACTGCTGCATATTTTTTAAAAAATTTTATTACAAAAATAGTACATACTTGTAAAAAAAACTCAAACGATACAGAAATAAAAGCACAATACACTCCCAGTATACACACAACCATATAGCCCCCTCCCCTCCGATCCCATTCCCCAGAGGTTATTGCTGTGAACAGTTCAGCATATATCCTTTCAGACCTTTTCCTCTGCGTATACAAATATATACACACATAAATATACACACGTGGTTTTGTCTTTTACAAAAGTGGGATCAAACTTGTCCGTTACATAGAATTCTTCAATTTCTTTCATTCAACATACAGAAAACTTCTAAAACACAAATCTGATGCAATCATTCTACTAGCGCTCATTTCCTATAATATACAGTTCACACCTGTTAGCATCGAGGATATACTTCCTGCCAGTCTTTCAGTCTCATCTCTAGCCACTCCAGCATTAAAGGACTAGAGCACAAACCACCTCCAATCCTTTCTGGAACAAGGCAGGCAGGCAGGCACAAACAAATGAACAAATCAGGAACACACTCTGCTATCTCTAGTAGAGATGGCAGGTTACACACTGCCTGGAGTTTTCCATCTTGGAAGCTCCTACTCGTTTTTCAACAGTCAGCTTATAAATTACTTCTAGGAAGACTTCCCTGACTTTTTCATACATGGTCATGCCTCTGTTTTCCCCTCTGCTTTACATCTAGCTTCTTCACTGCACTCAGCTCAAGCACCATTGTAATGTATTTAAGAAACGAGTTTTGAATTCCACTCCCCCTCCCCCAACTTGAGGGCGAGCTCTTTAGGTAAAAGCAATGTGTCTTATTTACTTGCCTTTGCATCCCAAGGATCTGACAGAGTGCTTATCGTGGAGCAGATGGTCAAAAACAAGTCTTTCGAGGATGTTATGATTGTAGCAACATTTACTGAGTACCTACTATGCACAGAACCGTATCCTAGGCATGAAAAGAAACACAAGAAGATATACAGTCTTTGCCCAAAGACCTTATTATTTTCCTACCCTGTCGCCTGGGAATGAGGGGCACAGAACACATTCACATGGCAACATTATCATTTCTGACGTATAGGCTGTTTCAAAGATTGACAGTCATTTGCCTCAAAAATCCATTTAGGGACAAGGCATTGTATAATCAGAAAAATAATAAGGTAATGGGCAGTTCGTCCAATAGGTTTATGTGTTTACTGGGGCATGGAGTCGACCAGAACCCAGTTCTCTGTCCCAGCAAGGGGCTGTCACCTGTTCCAGCCTGCAAATCAGAAAACTGAGATGATACCATGCTTGGAAAATGTCTAATACACCAAGAGGATGGAAAATCGTTAGTGCTTTCATTTCTCCTCCTTCCTGAGGGAAAAGTGATACCAAGGGCAGTTAAGTGGAGCTAAAGGAGGGCACTTTTGTTAGTGGAAGGGGAAAAGGGGTTGCTTGTTTTTAAATCAAAGTGTGACACTGTCCCAGGAAGATCAGAAGAGGTGACTTATTACCATTTATATACTACTTCTTAAAGGCTGAGGTGTTAGTCAATCTAGTGATTTCGGGATCAGACACTATACAATTATGAACAAATTAGGGAAGGTGAGCCACCCAGGCTGGAGAACAGGGAAGGCTCACCAGGGAGGCCCAAAGGAAGCCTCATTCATCAGAGTCCAAGTCACTGTCCCCAGCAATGGAGTGGAAATCCTCACTGTCCTCCTCATCCTCTGACAGGTGGACCTGGCTTAGTACGCTCGGCCCAGAGCGCTGCTCTTCCTCCTCATCTTCTTCCTCCTCCGATACCTCATACCCACCGATGCTGCTGAAGCTCGTGTCTTGGGTGTTTGACTTGGGATCAGGCTCCTCATAGCTCCCATAACTGAGAAGAGAAACAGGTCATCTCTCAAGCTCGGGCACCATCCTCTAGCCGACCAGTCCCGTTCTCAGTGCCGCCGAGGGATCAGCCCATCTCACCGCCCCTGGGCGCTAGAATGACTCGCTCTGGACTGTTCTATATAGGTCCCCAAGAGAAAAATGATCCTGTTCAAAACATCAACCTGCCAACTTCATAGTGACAAGAACCCGAATGGAAGACACTCCCCTACGCCTGCCACCACACGGTTAACAGCGGCCACGACCGTTAAGCGCTCAGGCAGCCTCGGGTCTCATCTCCCGCTTACAGCTTCACTCCTCCACAGAGCCCATCAGTCAATGGTCCTGAAGATTCTACTTCCTCAGGAGATCTTGTCTCTGTCCCCTCCTTCCCATCTCTACTCTGCCTGCCTTAGCTTAGTCCTCTGCTCGCTCTGGCCTGCACTGCTGAAATGAGTCTTCGTGCCTCCATCTTGCTCTCCTCCAATTCATTCTTCACGCTTCTGCCACCATGCTCTTTGTTGTTTATTCTTAATTTTACTTAAAAAACACCACACAAGTCATGCGTGTTCATGGGTTTTTTAAAAAATAAAATATATGCCAGAAAAAAAAAAAAAAGGAAAGAAATCACCAATAACTCTACCACCCAGAAATAATCTCTCGGTATAGAACCTTCCCAAGTTTTCTTCTATGCACTTAACTTAGATACTGAAACATTTTTTCTTTTTACAAAGTTGGAATACTCTACATACTCTTCAGGAATCTGCTGTTTTCACTATGATTATAATGAATGTCTTTCTATGTCAATAAACATACATCTACAGCATCCTTTTGATTGCTGTCTGGTACTCCACTACATGGCTGCCACACGATTGCTATAACCGTCTCTCACTGGCACACTGAAGCGGTCTCCAACATTCCCGCTATGAAAAACAGTGTCGTGATTCAACTCCCATTCAAACGTCCTGATGAAGGTGTTTCATTACTATCAGAATAACTGCCTACACATGGAATTTTGGGGGTCAAGGAGGATTCCCATTTTTTAAGTTTTTGATTTATAATGATAAATTGCTGTACCTCTCTCCCCCCCACCCCATTTTTATCATTTCACATTACCAGCAGTCATTGGAGAAGATCTTTTTCCTCACACCTCCCCACCTCCAGGCATTAGCATTCATTTTAGTCTTTGGCCATCTTAAACGTAAAATACTGCATGTCGTTGTTCTATTGCCTTCCTTTGATTCTTAGGGAAATTATTTTTCATATATTTATTGGCCATGTGCATTTCTTTTGGGGTACAGAGCACTCTTCACAAAATGTAGATCTGCTCATACCTCTCATTCAATGTTTACCCCGAACTTTCAGGCCCTTATGATTTGGCCCTTACCTACCTGTGTAAATCGTCTCTATCACACGGATCACGGATCAAAAACTCCGGCCACACCAAGCTGCTTGCATGCTCTGGAACTGTTTCCTCATACGCTGTTCTTGCTCTCTGAAGTGCCCTTTGCTTTCTTCTTCGTCTAGCTAATTCCTCGTCTGAGTGAGCTCAGTTTCCTTCTCTAAGCGGCTCCCCTACCCCACTCCTGCCCAAGCCCCAGAAAAACCCTGCGAGTGCCTATCACAGCACTTTCCATGTCACACCACGATCATCTCTTAACCTGTTCTAGGTTTCCCACTAGACTGAACTCCTTGATGGAAGGGACCACATCCTAGTTGCTTGTGGTCGGCACTTGTGATAAATATTTGCCTAATGAGTAAATGAAGACTCTAACTGCTTGCTGGACACCTCTGGCTAGATGTATCCAATGTACCTTAAATCTAACGCGTCCAAAGACAAATGCATTTTTCCTTTCCCGCCTCATCGAAAACCTGCTCTTTCCACTTACCTATCTCAGTGACATTCCCATTCATTATGTATTTGATCTCCCTACTTCCTAAGTCCGACTGATCTATCCTCTAAACAGCTCTTAAATATGTCCCTTCCTTCCCCCCACTTCTAACAGATCCCAGCTGAAATCCTTATCATTGCCCTGGAGTTATTTAACACAAAAATCCGATGTTACTTCCTTCTCCTTGGAGTGATGATTCCCAAGTGTCTTAACATGCCATGTAAGGTCCTCTACAATAATAATCCCTTGCTGCTTCTGCAGCCACACCTCCCCACAACCTCTCTTCACCCTGGAACATCCTTTGGTGTATTTCTGTGCCTTTGAACCTACTGGTCCGTCTCTAAGGGTCTCCTCACCTCCTGCCACTTTCCTACTTAGCCAACTCCTAGTCAGCCTTACTGCCAGGCCCAGTTCGAATGTCCCCTCGTCTGCAAAGCCTCCCCTGATCACTCCAAGTAGAGTGAGACACTGCCTCCTCAGTGGTGACTTGGCACTTTGTACTTATCACGCTGTATTTGTAAGGATCTTGTCTGTTATCAGTCTCTTCCGCTAGACTGTGAGCTCCTCGAGGGCAGGATATGGCTTGCTTCTCTGGGTCTCCCCAAGGGCCGAGCACAGTACCTGGCCCTAGAGGGTGCTCTGGAAATGTTTGATGGTTGAAAGTAATCTGACGCCGGACCCTCTGCCACCGCAGCTGGGCACTGACGCCATAGCCCTGTAGCGTGGCGCTGCCGATTACCTGATGTTGCTGTCCTCCAAACCATGAGAAGCCTCCCCACCGTCTCCCTCATAGGACATCATGCTTTCTTCGTTTTCCATGCCCATCCTCGTGTTCTCCTGAAGCATGCGGGGCTGTTTGGGTCTTAGCCCACCAGATCCCACATCAGAGTCGCTCCCACTTTCACTCAGCTGGATAGCTGTGAAAAGATGGTCCCGAGATAAGCTGGACAGAATTACCACCTTTGGCTTGGTCTTCCCAAACCAGTTCCTGCCCTCCATCGACACAGGCACCCTGCCGGGACTCCTCACCTCGGAGGGGGGCCTCGGGCCAATGTCGGCAAAACCACAGTTTGGAAACAGAACCCAAATTACCACTTCCTTTTCTCGTCTCAGTCCAGTCTTGTTTTTTTTCCCCTCTATCATCTCCTGTACTTTTCCCTGCCATTGCCATTAATTGACAAAATAAACTAAGTAGGATCTTTTTTTTTAAATTGAAGTATAGTTGACATACAATGTTCTATTAGTTTCAGGATTACAACACAGTGATTTGGCAATACATACGGTATGCTATGCTCACTGTAAGTGTAGCGGCCATCTGTCCACGTGCAATAGTATTACAATATCATTGACTCTATTCCATATGCTGTGCTTTTTATTCCCGTGACTTATTCGTTCCGTAACCGGAAGCCTGGATCTCCCTCCCCACTTCACACCCATTTGCCCATCCCCCCACCCCACTGCACTCTGGCAACCATCAGTTTGTTCTCTGTACTTAGGGGTCTGTTTCTGCTTTGGTTGGTTGGTCGGTTGGTTTAGATCCCGCATGTGAGTGAAATCTTATGGTATTTTGTCTTCCTCTGACTGACTTGTTTTACTTAGCGTTATACCCGCTAGGTCCATCCATGTTGTCACAAATGGCAAGATCTCATTCTTTCTTATGGCTGAGTAAAGCAGGAACTTATTTCCTTATTTCTCCCCCTTCCCTATTACAAATACAACACCTCTTTCTCATCTTGATCGAATATTCAAATCAAAGATGCTACTTAGGCACTGCCTCTCCCACGGCCCCATGGTCATCTTCTGCACTTCCATGTTATGTGTCTTCACCTCCTCAAAGGCTACTGAATGTCATCATCCTGTGAGTGCTCAGTACTCTGAGTCTATTAATGAGACTTCAAGAAAAGAGCAGCTTCGGGATGCCTGGGAGGCTCAGTCGTTAAGAGTCTGTCTTCGGGGCGCCTGGGTGGCTCAGATGGTTGAGCGTCTGCCTTCGGCTCAGGTCATGATCCCGGGGTCCTGGGATCGAGTCCCGCATCGGGCTCTCTGCTCCTTGGGAGCCTGCTTCTCCCTCTGCCTCTCTCTCCCTCTCTCTGTCTCTCATGAATAAATAAATAAACGTTTAAAA